GTTAACATGCAAATTGTTAACATGATAATGGAAAGTTGGAGATTCGAGTTCATAAGCACCTTAGAAGAAAGTTCTGGAAGAAAGTTCTGTTATATACTTACACACAATGAGCCATTGAAATCATAGAAGCACAATATTCTGACACATAAGCTGGGTGATAACTATTGTTTTTACACTGCTGCCAATAGTTGTGAGTCTTTGTTCAAACCCTTGCTCTTAAGAGAGCAGGAGCCGAGACCCAGGACATAGGAAGACACAGACCGGTATGATCCTTATCACTTACTGGAGAATAAACCTGTGAAGGGACTGGACTCGTTTTGGAGAGGCTGTACTTGGCCCTACATACAAAGACCCAATACCTCTATCTTTATGAGAAATGTGTTGTTATTATTTGTTTTAAGGTGTGATGGTTAAGGTTGGTTAAGGTTGGCTCAACTTGGTGAGCCATGATTCTCAGTTGTTTGGCAGTTATACAATGGTGTAGTCATCACCCATTTTGTAATATAATATAATGTAATCACTTCCATGATTATTTCAGATGGAATGAATTTTATGAGCTCTGCTGAGAACAGTCTGTCAGCAGAAAGGGGTTTCCGTGGGGCTAGGGCCTGCCTCCAGTATATAATGAATGGTTGTTCCAACCAGGCTCTGGTTTGCTCTGAAGCCTGTATCCAGCTCCCCGTCACTTGACTTCCAGCTCTTGATATTTGTCAACCTCTGCAGCCTGTGTCAGCAGTCTGCTGGCTGCCATGCTGATCGAGTTTGTCTGTTTCTGCAGCTGCATCTCTGGAGAAGCCTCCAGGCTGATGCCTTATCTATGGACTTGGGACTTACCGGCCTCTATAGCCATGGGAGAAAGATTGGGCTTTCTGCTCCAGTAAATAGTTCAGTCTTAGAAATGCACAGGAGGGTCACTATGAGTCAGCATTGACTTGATGGCAATGAGTTTGGTTTGGTTTTTATAATTGAGGGAGCCATTTCCTTGAGACAAGTCTTTCTCTTTCTCTGTCTCTCTATATCACTGATTTTGCTTGTTGAGAGAACACATCGTAAGATATAAGGTGATGGTTCAATTAGGCCAGAGGTCAAGGCCACGTGTCAGAGGATGAAGAGGAGTTTCCCCTAAAGGGAGTAGATATCCCTGTGTTCCCTCATACTAGGAAGAGGCAGAATCTGGGATAGAACACCTGATTTTGAATGTAGATCTTAAACTGGATTAGGATTTTCTTCTCTAAATGTCACAGTGAATGGGTTTGGATGTCCAAGAAATCGTCAGGGGAACTCTTTCTGCAGAGGGGACACTATTCTGAGCCATATGCACCCAGGCTGGAAGCTCCCCAGCCAGGCAGTCCTCTGTGTAGGCCATGAGGGGTTTGAGAACAGACGTGTCACTACTGCAGGTTACTCTCTGGACCATTTGAGCATTTCAATATCTGTAAATATTGAAAGCACCATGTACTGTCAGAAGGACAAACGAGTCTGTCTTGAAGGAAGTACAGCCAGAATGCTAATTTTTTAGAAGTGGAATGATGAGTCTTTGTCTCAAGTACTTTGAGCATGTCATAAGGAGAGATTCAAAACCCAGAAACCACATTCACCTCCATTGAGTCATTTCCGACTCATAGCAAGTCTACAGAATAGAGTTGAACTACCCCTGTGGGTATCCAAGACTGTACATCTTCAAGGGAGTTGAAGGTCTCATCTTTCTCCTGTGGAGGGACTGGTGGTTTTGAGCTGCTGACCTTGCAGTTAGAAGCTCAGCCAGTAACTCATTATACCATCAATGTCTGGAAAAGGACATCATGTTTGGTAGAAGACCGTAAAAAAAGCAGGAAGACCCTCACCAAGATTGATGGAGTGGCTGCCACAGTGGGTTCAAACATAACAATGAGGAGGATGGCCTAGGACCAGGTGGTGGTTCAGTCTTTTGTACATAGGGTCACAATGAGTTGGAATCAACTTGATGGCATCTAAAAACAACAACAAATAGTGTTCAATGCTACAGTCTGGTGTTAGTTGTACTGTGAAAATAATTTGGTAGGGGATGCCTTTGTTCAGGAGGGACCTGACCAGACAATGGCCCTTTATGCTAAGTCCCAAGGCAATTAGTGAAGGTCACATGGGCTAGAAAGAAATCAATTTTCTAGAACCACAGGGAATGGTCGTCAGAGTAGGGGGCATCTGAAGCAGAGATGTAAGTAGTTCAGTTATTGCACACCTAAGTGGGAGACAATACCTCCCAAAGCGGAGGGCACTCATGGTAGAGAGGGGACAGAAACTCTAGAGGAGCCTAAAATCCTGTTAATTTTGCAGGTGGGGGTTAAGAGCCATGGTGCTTTGGAGTTTTATTTTAAATATGACTCCTTTAAACTAAAGATTCATGAAAGCTGTGACATTCTGGTTATTAAGGATATATGAGGCCTTTTCTTGACCAAATCTTTCCCACTCTGGGCATTGTGTTCATTAGATTTGGGAAAAACAATGCTAAACAAGGTATCTCCCATGTTTTATTTATATAATTCCTTTCTTCTTTCCCATCAGACTTCTGCCCTTGTACCTTATTATAGACACATACATCTAACTCTGACGTATCAAACATCGACAATATCTTCAGATACAACCATAAAATCTAACTCAGAACCATCTGATAGATTCTTCTTTCCTTCCATTGTTTTTCCACTCTGTTTCCCCCCCATACTTTTCACAAAGTGTTCAGTATCAGAAAGGAAGAGAGAGTTTGAGGCTCTCTCTGGATCTTATGCGTAATCATGGATGGATAAATCGAACTGGTCTTTCACTAAGCTGAAGCTTTCAGCTGCCTCCATTTCCCTGGGCTGAGCAGGAATGCTATTTAGTAGATTGGCACAGCAGCCACAGTCTCAGCTCTGTTGATTGCATCTACAGTCGTACTCTAGAAAAAGACTGCATTCAGTTCCTTAGAGCTTTTCTGGATTTATGGTGTTTGCCTTTTATTTTAACAGCTGCTTATTTGCATAACCTGTTAACGCTGCTTTCCTACCATCACTAATGGGCTTCCTTTTGCTTCTTGGACATTTCTTCCCCCTTGCTCTTAGAGACTCAATAACAAATAGCAACTTTTGTCTTCAACAAAAGTTCTGCGTTTCTGAAATCATCTATATTTCCCCCCAACTATACAACAAAGCTGAGCTTTGTAGAATATAACTTTGGCATGTTAACGGTTTGACTTGTCCCTGCAATCCTCTTGGCTGACTTGCAAGCACTCCCCTGGGAGTTAGGTGCTGTATGATCTCTGTATCAACTCCATTCGCTTCAGTTCAGCAAAGATGACTGAAGGCATCATGCTACCTTCGGGAATGACAAAGTAGAGGAGTGCATACCTACTAGCTTTATGTTCAAAACACTCCTTTCATTTTTCCAGTCCTGTAATTAACTCCACCAGGGTTGCATTGATAAGAGGGACCTACTCCTATCCTTAGCAAATATAACAAATATGCAACCAATAAGGAAGGCAATACAGGTTATTGAGGGGAAGGATGGGGAACGCTCACGTAAAAAATTAAAATTTTTGGCGGGGAGGAAGCTGAACTTCAGACCCTAGCTAGATACCTCTAGCTGTCAGGATAGAGTGGAACTGTCCCCTAGGGTTTCCAGGGCTGTCAGTCTTGATGGAAGCAGACAGCCACAGCTTTTTCCAGTGACTTTGTGACCAGCACCCAAGCACTTCGACCACAGCACCACTAGGGCTCCCTGAAGAAGAGCAAAGGATCATAGTGTAAAGAGTGGGTCATGTTCCAGGCTAGCAAAGGGTTCTATTTTTCTTAATGCTCTATACCCAAAGCAAGTATAAACAAAGGCAATACGAAAGTAAGTACATTTTGTCATCATTTAAAAATTACTTACTACAGCGTCAATATTTTGCGTTGATGTGATTCTTTTAGAACATTTTCTCCCATCAAACATCTAAGTAGCTTAACAATAGTCTTTAGGGGGAGCGTTGGACCTCCCCCCTTAGAGAAGTTTTCACGAAGAACTAGGGAATCTTCAGATATGGGGGGCATTGCCCTTTGTGACGCGGCTTTGTCTTTCCGCTGATGTGCTGTGTGAGGTTCTGTCGATGAAGCCTGAAATAGGATTATAGTTCTAAAAGTGCAAGGAAAGGACCCATTTCTCTCTCTGCTCCATACCACATGATGGAGCACGCCTCAGCCTCTCCTTTTGTCTTCAAAGGGGTGTTGCGTGGATGGTCAGGAAGGGGTTAAACGCGGGTGCTCAAGCACCGTTGTGGACCGTGCTGTTTTAACTTAAATAGCTCCTGTAGTGCAGAGCTCCCCCCAGATCAGAGGGCTGGGGGACAGAGGCCTTGGCGCAGACTTGGGGTACAGCGCAGGTGGGGGCCGCTGCCTGGTCTCTGGCAGGAGGCGCCCCGCGCTCTGCAGGTGCAGGGATTTGTGATCTGGCCGCCAGGCTCCCGAGAGAGGGCTGCAACCACCGCGTTGCCGAGTGGAGGGGGTTTGGTCCCCTGAAGCGGAGCCCATCCTCCAGGTGGCCGACGTGGATCTAGCCGGGTGTCCTCACCTGGCCCGGGGAAGGAGAAGCAGTCCGCCCTGGAACCGCGGAAAGGCTAGGACCCTGGTCTGGGACGCCAGGGGGCTGGCTTCGCCGGTCGCGGTCGGCTGCCTCCCGGTGATTGCGCGCCCACCCTGCCCATCATCGCAGGGCTCCGTCCCGATTGGCTATGGTGGCCGCCACTCGGTTCCGCCGCGCTAACCCCCATTGGCCCCCCTCCGGCCGAGGCTCCGCCCCGCGAGCTGGGCTCGGGCGGTGGGGCGCCGGGTGGCGAGAGCGGGGCGCTCGCTTGGGCTGTGGGGAAGCGGCGGCGACGGAGGAGGAGAGGAGAAGGAGAAGGAGGAGGAGGAGGAGGAGGGGCGGGACCGGCCAGAGGCAGCAGGCCGGGGTGATGGTGCAGGTGCCCGGGGCCGGCGCGGAGCTGCCCGGCTGAGGGGCACCTGGTGCGGGGTCCCGGGTCCGCAGCGCCGCCGCGTCGCTCCCGGAGGCGGGCGGGAAGATGCTGAGCAGGCTGATGAGCGGCAGCAGCCGGAGCCTGGAGCGCGAGTACAGCTGCACCGTGCGGCTGCTGGACGACAGCGAGTACACCTGCACCATCCAGGTCAGCGCCGCGCCGCC